AGAATTCGCTTTACGAGAAGAACTTTGACCGACAAACTCAAAGAGCCACGGATTGTCTTATCGCTTCTCGCTTCTGATCTGCGTAAAAATTTGAGGAGCGAAAGTGGACAAGTCCGATAGACGAGATGGAATTCGAAAACGACACCGTGGAATTGGCTTTACGAGAAAAACTTGGACCGATATCTCGAATAGTCGCGAATTGTCTTATCATTTCTCGCTTCTGATCTGCGTAAAAATTTCAGGAGCGAAAGCGGACAAGTCCGAGATGGAATTTGAAAACGATCGTAGAACGGGCTTCGCAAATTCTGGATACTCCCCTACTACCGTCCAACTTACAGTCTGCGTTAACACGAGAATATAAAGGATGTGGTATTCATCTCAACCGGCGCGATCGAACATCTTCAAGTGATCACCTCGCACATCTCGACAGACGCAAAGGAAAAATACTGAAAGTTCGCCCAGCCAGTCTTTAATCGCACCCCTCTCCCGCCCCGTTACGGGGAATTAATCGCCGAACAATAGCGCTCGATCTCGTTATCTCGCAAACGCATCGCGCTCCTGCGAGAATGCAATTTAGCTAGAAAGCTACCAGCTTATTTATCACTCTCTGACGTACGAGTCGTTCGCAAAGGCGATCGCGAGTCGCAAATGGGAAGAAAGGGCTACTTGACTAAGGGCCAGTTTTACAAACGTTAGCTGCTAACCTCAAGCTCGTATCAGACTACGGATTGAGATTAGATAAAAATTTCGCCAATCAGAGTGAAGTTTACTAAATCTAAAGTTTAGTGACTTTTGCTCTAATTGATCTAATTTCGATCTAATCTCAATACTTAGTCCGTAGTCTGATACGGGCGTCAGGTTAATTGATTCTCTGTCTCTTCTTAGATAATAAGATAGAAAACCAACGTTCGTGAAACTGGCCCTAACGACAAACGAAGGACGGTTCCGCGTGAATCTCGTCTCGACGAGAGAGCCACGAGCTCTCGCGTTGTAGTAATCGCAGTGGAGGGAAAAGGGGGGAAAAAACCGCACGCGTCCCGACATAGAATGAAATTGTATCTTACTTTCGCGACCGTGCGAAGGAAACTCCGTGCGGCACGCTCGGAGGAAAGCCGCCGCCGCGCGGGCGAGACCGGCGTTTTATGGCTGTTACGGCGATGTGATCGCGGGCTTCCGCTCGCCTATTAATTCGCTAATTAGCGCGGGTCTATACGCGGTGTCGAAGATCTCTCGCGCGATATAATTAGCTCGGTCAATTAACGCGTGGCCTTAAACTTTCACGTAGTCTCGCCGCCGGGTACGGCCCCCGCGACACGTATACGGTAATTTAGCGCAATTTAGCATGTTCGCGTCTTTTTCTCTTATTACGGCGATTACAGTACAAACTGGGACTCGCGGGGAACCTGGAGATTTTCTCCTTTTTTCTCTCTCTCTCTCTATTTTAATCTTGCGAGCCAACGACTTTCTTCATTTGGCGCATATGTATATGCATACGAAAATTTTCACCCGCGTGCTTTATTTTTATATCCTCGTCGCGGGTGAATTGAAGTAGGGCGGTTTTAAGCGCAGGAGAGACCGCGTTCATTAACATCTATTTAATTGCCGCGCTAGGAAAAGAGCGAGCGTGTCCATTGCACGGACGTTTGACATAGTAATGTTGGAAGAAGCGAGCGCGCGGCGCATGCAAATGCGCTGGATAAGACCCGTTCGCATAGGCGAGCCACGCGGAATGATTTTAGTGAACACGGGCGATAAATATATCCCCCCATGGCACGGATCCCGGAGGAAGAGAGAAAGAGAGAGGAACAGGGACTTCGGTTCTCGTGGCTCTCCGAATCGAGTCGCTCCTGAGAGGGAAAGAGGGGAACGGAATGTCTCTCGCGCCTCTTTGCTCTCACGAGCGATGTTTTGACGATGTCTTTGACATCCTACGCGAACAACAGCAACATTGCACACGCCGAGAATATCTCCTCGCATTCGCGTTTCCTGCATTCTACAGCTGTACACGCCGAGTTTCCTTAATTCCCCCGTACTTTTATTACCCGCCGACGAGCAATGTAGCTCTCCGCATGTAATTAGGACGTGCAGAATCGAAATATGAACATCAAACTGTGACTCTCTGAAATGCGAAACAATCGCAAAAGTATAAGGGCAACGCGAGTAGTTAGAGTGCTGTGTTTAATCCGATATTCAAGTAGCTACATCGATGTGTGCTGGTAAATCAGGCGGACGTCTCGAATCAATTTCGAGTCCTCTTCATATTTGTATACTTGGAAGAATGGTTAGTCTTAAAAAAAAAAAGATATTTTGTTCGAAAAACATTTGCGAGAAAGTCCAGAGATGTGAACGAGCGCTCTAACAGGGGCGGATATTAAAATAATATTGTAAATCGCAGGAAAAAAGAAGTTCTCGCAAATCGCGAGACTATAATCTCTTTCCGTGCCGCGGGATTCGGGAATGCCGAGGATTACTGTCGTTCATAAATAGAATTATCTTCCTCGCGGCAGTCGCCCCATGTGTGACCGCCGTCCATTTACTGAAATATCTCGGTAACCGCTGAAATCCAACGCGTCTGGTCTCGGGCTGCAGTTTACATTCGGGGGTGCCGAACAAAGTGCTGGATCTCTCGATTCCCCGGATTTCGCACGACGGTCAGAATTGATCTCGGCGAAAAGTTTCGCGTCTTTTCTTTCATTTGGCCAACCGAAGTTGAATCGATCAGTTCGAAGCTTTGTAACAGTTTTAGGGATAGACGATGCGATTTGTGGTGGGAACTTTCATTCACGACCGATCTGAATGCGTCGTAATTTTACACACGTCCGTGTCTACGGGCAGAAATTTTCCAGCTACGAGCTTCGTATGGGTCGCCAGGAATAGTTTACGACCGATATCCTATCTATCGATCACACTGTGCTCTTAAGAAACGCCGTTGCTAGCTTTATTCGTGTCTAAATATAAATCGACTCTCTGTTTAGCCTCTCGTCGCTATTTCCTACATTGATTTCGTTACGCGGGACGCTAGGACGCGTCAATGTCTAGGTGAGTCGATTTATTACGATTCTTATTTCTTGTTCTGGTCGAATCTTTGAGATCATCTCGGTCCGATACACCGAGAATACAAGGCGGGCGGCGTTAACTTAGCACACAAACGGCTTTATGATGATAATTATTATTATTTAATCATCATTAATGTTTTAATAATATGTTGTATAACAATAATTATTGTTGTTAATAAACGCGGCGAATTATGTCGAGATGTCGACTGGACTTCGTCGGATTTCAGAAAGTCAGGGTAACAATGAAAGTTGAACAGTTTTAACAATAAGGTATATTTAATAATAGTCTCATAATTTAATACATAAATAATTTTCTGTTTACAAATCTGTTTACAAGGAGTGTGTAATTTAATAGAAGAAGTAGGAACGAAAAGTGGTATTCGCGCAATGATTAATATGTTAGTCGTACGCTATATTAGTCTTGTATTAGCATAAATAATGTATTAGCACATAGCGTTAAATATAGTCGTCAAGTCCTACTTTTCGTTACGGAGCCTGAACGTCCCGTAGAGAAAACGACACGAAAAATAATTCTCTCGGACGATCTATTTCACAAAACGACGTGGTCTCTATAGGATAGCGACGTTTTACAATGCGCCACGCATTCAGAGATACGCTCTTCTAAAACGACAAATAAAAAATATCACAGGAACTAAATAATACCCGTAGGATTAATAACAAAATCTAAGTAACTACCGTTTGTACTTTCGGCCCTGTCGACTTTTCGAGATGCGACCAGTCCCGAGTGCGTTGCGGACAGGCAAAATTTCTGATTAAAATAAGAAACGACTGGCAGTTTGTGCGATTGAGAAAGAGGAACTTTCGACGGAATTACGTGCGGCCAGCTGATGCCGATCGTTAATTTTTCTACGTGGCCAGCGCGACGTGAAGAAACTCCCGGTTACGTCACCCGACACTGGTGGCCGAGGTTGTTCTCGGCACACTTCTCGCCGCGGGACGACCGCGGGAATTGACGATCAACGAGGAATCGCCGAAGCGTTTCGTTACGCATTGACCGTCGCTTTGGATCTTCGTGATGATCTTCGTAACGGTTGGATGCCGAAAGGATTTCCGCAGTGTTTCCTCGTTGCGCTTCCCGTACTTCCCCCGGCTCTTCTCCCTCGCGTCGTTCAAGACGTTGTCCAGATCCTCCCGACTCAACGTCCCGCGGTCGCCTCCGCATTCCGGTACCTTGCCGATAGTCTCCTTACATGGACTGATGAAGCTTCGCACGTAAGTCTCCCCGTCTCTTGGCTCCTTCGCGGGCCTCTTCGGGTCTGTCTCGGGACCCGAGTCGAAGATCACCCTACCACCTTCACCCACGAATTTCACCTTTCCTTTAGAGGAGCCCGGCCCGAGGAGGACCTGTCCGCCGTCGCCGGTGTACTCGATGTTGCCCACGTTGTGGCTGACGCGCAGCCTGCAGCCGTCGCCGATTACGTGGACGCTGCCGGAGTTGTTGGACAGGACGATTTGGCAGCCGTCGCCCGTGATCTCCAGCGCATGGTGATTCGAGTGCATCTCGACGACGAGCCCGTCGCCGTGGAACCGCCTGACACCGTCGTCGCCCACGTCGGAAGAGCGCTTGCAATGCCGCATGGAACTGCTCGTACTCTGCCGTTCCTTCCTCCGCGAGTCCGGTTGCCCGTCGATGCGGGAGATCGTCATTGATACCTCAAGTTCTCGCCTCCCTTCGTCGATAGAGAAAACTACTCCACCCGGCGGGCGCAATTATTTAATGATAATTTGTCGCACAAGTAATCGAGTTTTATCGTGGAGTTCTCCTCTTCTCGATAGACCCTTTTACTTCTCTGTCCCTCGCCACTGGAATACTGGGTAATATTCTGCTTTCAGAGGCGATCGCCAGGAAGAAAGTGCGTTCGCGCAGAGATAAGAGAACGAGTTATTTACGTTAAGGCGCGCAGCGTGTCACGACTCCGGTCCCTGCGTCGTGGTCGCGTAATAACGAATGCGTACAGTCGATTCGCGCGGCGGTGGGCTCGCGTGACGACGGGTTCTTCACCGAGCACAATCGGCCCCCGCGGTTATCATCGCTCCTCGGGGGACTTCCCGCGAGGCCTTCCGCAGCGGCGAGCGCTCGCCGTTCATTGATACCAGAGTCGTAGCTAGGAATTACAGCGCCTGCGACGAGCTACTACGTTTATTTATCGCAGATAATTGGAGTACGTTGCGATACATCGAACACGCTTCCTCCGTACACGTTATCTCGATAATTAATATGTCTCGTAACTTGCTCGAGCACCCTTGCCGTGTGTACGAGAGGAGCTGGAATTTTTCCATGTGGCCTTAAATTTTATCCTGTTTCGCGTCTAATTATGTCTATTAAAATCGATGCTGGGGACATTGTTAAGGTAATTGCTAGCAGTCTGTAATTACGTATAATTAGCTGCGATTATCTCTCGAATTCTTAGCATCGTATGCATTTGAATTTCAAATTAAAATTCCATTAAGGTACTTAGACTGACAATTAACCGTGAGATGTAATTTTAACATACAATTTTTCTGCCAATTTTCCTATTATTCGCCCTCAATTTATACGCTCCGCGTATTTTTTTACGTGTCGTCTTAAGTCATTATCTTCTCCTTTGTAAGACATGGATTGTTCTTTTTTCTCATGCGACATATATGTTATTCTATTTTAGTTTAGTTAGGAACTTAACATCGTTCTTGAAATTGATTTCTCGAAATTGTCAGTGAAAGGTCAATTTCGAATCGGTAGCTATAAGCATTGGACAAGACAAAGACATCCCGCGTGGCTGAACGTGCACGCTGTTGCTCTTACGCCGGAAACGTGCAAAGCAAATATAGCATTGGCAGGAAAGATTTGGAATTAAAAAGGATCGTGTTTGCCGCAGCCTAGTTACGGCTCTGTTCGCCTCACCTTTTCTTCTCTCTCTCTAATTCGGCACGTCGTTCTCTCGCCGTCATTCATCACGGCCGAGCGAAGGACAAAACGGTTTGCCGACTCGAAGCGTCTGAAAAGGGGCTTTACAACAGCGTTTCTTAATATAATCGTCATCCTCAGGCTCTCAAAGTGTTGGGGGATTAAATTGCAATCCTGCTTAGCTTCTACAAGCTTCTTTATTAATTTTTGTTTCCTTTATTTTGTTCTTCATTTCTAAATCACTATATGTAAATTTCATTTCTTTAAAATATTTCTGTCTAATTGCATACAGAATGTCCCTGTCTTGTGCCTTTTGATAAAAATGATATTAGGTACATCACATTCAGACCCGGTTTCACCAACGTCGCTTAACTTCAAGCTTAGCTTAATTCATTCTTTGTCTCTTTCCAACTGTTACTCTAGAAAGAGTCAAACGTGAATTAAACTAGGATTAAAGTTAAGCAACGTTTGGTGAAACCGGGCCTTAGAAAAATATGAAAAATTGAAACATTGTCTTAATACTTTCATCTCGTCTGGTGTCCGTTGAAATTAGATATTTCCTTTGAAGAATTACAATTCCTCGAGTGAAAGCGAGAGTGATGCAAATATTTTCGGGACACGGATGTGCGCGTATTGCGGTTTTCACCGTGCAATCGAGGAGAAATGCCAAAATGTGGTTGCCTAAGATTAAAACAGAAAGTGTACTTGGAGCGAACGTGAAATACACTGTTCTCCGGCTTGAGTTTTAACAACGGCGGGCCTTGTAACAATGATAGGCCGAAAATCGATCGTCGATATGTATCTTATCGGGCCGAGCCTCAAACTGTAAAGAGGTAACTACGAAATCGTAGACTTTATTTACTGAATTCTCAGAGTTACCGTGAAATGTTAGAAGAGAAATGATATCACTTCTGTCTTGTCCCTTCAAATCGAATCAAATCTTCTTCTTTTTATGTTGTTAAAGAGAAGTCTATGCTTGGTGAATGTTGGTATGTTTCTAAAGAATTTTGCAAATTC